GATGTATTTGTTTAATATGGGTATCAAATTAAAGCTGTTCATGAATGCTTTAAGATAGAGCACTTTTCAAATAGCTGGGTGACTAGGGTCTCGAGATACAGACCAAAACGTGGACCCGGGTAACCTTAGGATGTATTTGTTTAATATGGGCATAAAATTAAAGCTGTTATGTCAAAAATATGCGGAAGCAAATAAAAAAAAATTAAAAAATTCATGAATACCGTTTTTGTGAAAAATAAAATTGTGTAATGCGGACAGTTCTTTAATCCTCTTTAATATAAAAATAAGTAGGGTTTTCCTTCCTGACGCTATAACTCCAGAACGCGCGAACCGATTTCCACGGTTTTGCATTCGTTGGAGGTTTATAGCTAAGAAAATTCAGGAAAAATTTCAATAAAAAAGTATATGGTGTGTGAGTATCCCCCTCGAAAATAAGTATGTTTCATTTAAAGTAGATGGTGCCGGTGCGTGAAACATTGTTTAACAGCTATTCATTGTACTTTGCTCAGTTAATTTCATGTGACACTAGCGAATACCCGGCGTGCTTCGCTGCGCCTTAAAAGTAATTTTGTTTTGTTACTCCCTCTCACAACATTTGAAAATATTAGTTAATATTGCTGTACATATTTGTATAGTAGGGAGATTTTTTCAAATTATATAAATATACGTTATTTGAATATTGAATCAATACACGTTTGAGGAAAGGGTGCGATAGTAGACTCCAGTTATAAGATTATAAATTAAATTTCCAAGAGAAAGTCGGTTCTTTACATATTTTCTAATTACCTTCGAAAATATATTAACTCAAAAAAAAAATAAACAATGCTTCATAGATCGATTTTTTTTAAATCTAACTTCATAAAGTTCTTTAAAAATATTTTGTAAATGAGGCCATAAGAGCTTAGGGGGAGAGTTACAACACAAAAATACATTTAAGGCGCAGCGAAGCACGCCGGGTAATTGCTAGTTTTATTTATATACTTCAAGCATTTTCATACTTTCCCGGATGTGCACGGCCATTAAGGGCCGTTTGTATAATGTCCAGTTAATTCTAACTCCCAATTAGACATCGTTATCGACACGCACCATATAACATTTGATCGATAGTTATTGCTCAGTTATGGATACTTGGCGTTGCATGAGAGTTGTCACATAAGAAATCTGTTAAATGAGCTTTGCGTGTAAGCGGTTACCCAACGCACAGCATTACATATGTAGTAGTCTGTTGGCTTTTTATTTATACGTAAAAATGGCATAGCAGTGGAAAGTATGCATAACTGAGCTATTAGCGTTAACTAGACATGGTGCAAACGGCCCGAAATACTATCCCACCGCCACCAAAACTTCTATTGGGAGTATTTAGGCATAAAGGAAAATTTTTCCGCCTGGCGGTTTTAAATTAATTTTTAAGGGCACACATGTGATTTTAATATACTGTTCTTAGTACAACTTAGAAGCACTTATTTCAGAACTGCCTAGTACCTTCGATGCGGTATTGGAGAAGCATAACTCTATGGTAGCAACCGAAGCTATCAGTGAATTGAGTGAACGAATCGGCGCAATTGATTCTCCACATTGGCAGATCGAGAAGCAATATGGTAGCCGAACAGAAAAGAGCAGCAAAGACGAAAAGCTTCCACGCATGGTAAATATTTTATCGAAAAAAACTGACCGTTGACCTGAAAATATCGAAGCACAAATCATTAGAAAGCCTAGGAGTGAAAAATAAGTATTTAATAAAAATAAAATTTTTCTATTAAGGTCTCTGGCAATGCGAACGAACTAAACAATGGAGCTGCTGGTAACCACACGGACCTCGAGCAAGCTGATATAATAGACGATTTCTTAGATGAGGCTCGCTACAATTTGGCCACGCGCGTAATGTCAAATGGCGTTGAGGTGATAATTGCCAGTGATAAAATTAAGACTCAACTTGCTGGCGCTGATGTAGCAACTGAGATCGCGACCAAAGATGCGCCGCAACAACAGCATCATCAATTGCAACTGCGTGTGGTGCCCAGCCAAGCTATCTACCGGCCATTGACGTTGGCAGCGAGTACATTGAAGAACCAAATGATCCTTGTAATGCCGTCGCAAAATACGGAACCGGTAAGGTTTTTCCAAAATTGGAATGTACATATATCCAAATTAAGCGTTTACTAGGGATGGCAATTCAAATTTATTATTGTATGTGATTAATCGCAATGCCAAAAAGTGATTGCAATTAATTAGAAGATATTAATATATTAACCGGCATTTTCGATTATTTTTGTTTTTAATGTTATAACAAAGAAATAACTTATAAAATTATTCACGCACTTAGATTGAAATAAGATTGTAGACAAGTAATTTTTAAAGCTTTTTGATTGTTAATCTGCTTCGGCTTTCCTAGACGATTGCCCCGGAAAAAAGTCGTTCCGTGGATACTGATGTGTCAGTGGGAATATTTGAGGGAACACAAGTAAAGTTTTGAATGAACTTCCTTCATTTTGTCCCACGCCTCAGCAGTGATCCGTTTCAAGCATAAAACTTGACAATTCAAACTTGACAAAGAGATTCAGTTCATCTTGAGGAAATGTATAATAATTACGGTGACTAGCCGTGGGTAACACAGTGCGGCGCCGCGCCATTGCGCTGATACCGAGAGCTGAGTTACTGGCGCCAATACCGATTTTCACAACTCAGTAACGCAATGGCGCCAGCAACACCGGAACCAGTGTTGCCAAACATGAGCTTTTCCTACCAAAACTGGTAGGTTTTTTCCATTTGGTAGGTTGGTAGGCTATATTCGATTTTGGTAGGTTCCGCGACAATAATAGGTATTTGCGAGAAATATATAATATGTATCTCCAAAAATTTTAGCAATCTTGTTTACACGAATATTTCACCGGTGGAGTCCACCATTGTCTACCTGACAGGGACTTCATTGCATGACTTGAGGAATATCACCAAAACTAACCTATTGGTCTTTCAATATGGTAGTAGATAGGTATTCAGTTGAGGAATGCACTGCGACCAGGAGATCTATTCTGCCCTCAATATGGTAGTAAGACCCAATGTTACATATGCGGTACTGGTGACCAAAAGTTACGCATGTAAAGGCGGGTTCCACCTTTAGCAAGCCACGCCGACTGGTCCACGTGGCCTCTACAGGAGCTATGTTTTTTGTCTATTCTATTTGAAAAAGAGGCCTGCTGGAGCGCCCTACGACTGACCAATATGATCAGCAAGAAAATTTCGGGTCTTCGGGATCATTTGGAGGCTCTAAAGCCGTTCCTGAATAATCCCGAGTTATCCTTCTACAAACCCTACAAGGTCACAACTCCTGAAAGGACCTGCAGTGAAGTGATAATAACTATGATTGACGAAAGGTCCCACGCATGGTATCCAGACGGATCAAAGATGGACGATGAGAGTACCGGGGCAGGCAAATTTGGAACGAAGTTCCAGAAAGTCTACCAATTTACACTTACCCAACTATATTCCAGGCGAAAGTCTTCGCAATCGGAGTCTTTGTAGAAAGACAAATGGGGCCAAATTAAATATTATGTCGGATAGTCAGGCAGGTTAAAGGCCTTAGACTATTTTAAAACGGCAGCAGGCTAGTGAAAAGCTGTAAACTTTTTTGAACCACGTGGGAGCTCACAATAACGTAACGCTGTGGTGGGTTCCGGGACGTGAAGGGTTTGAAGGCAACGAAAGCTGACTGTCTCGCAAAGCGTGGAACCCAAATGCACTTGCATGGTCCCTAGTCTTTTGTGAGCTGGTGGAGAAACCCCAGCAGACTGATACACTTTGGGGAACGATTGTCTTCTTCATCCAAAATTTTAAGCATGGCGCCCTCCAAAGTGCCTAACTTCTTAAACAGAATAAGGCTGGAGTGATTACAATTAGGGTTAAGCACAATAGATTTTCTTAGGTCCCAGCGCGTGTATCTCCGACGTAATAATAATAATAATAATAATATGCATGTGTAAAGAGACAAACATTTGTGTACGTCTGTACAGTAAAATGAATTGTTATACGTAGTTAATATGTTTCTATTGTCTTAGCTGTGTTTTAGTTTTTCTAAATGTTATGTTATCTACATTTTTAATAAACTTGATATTAAAAGCAATATTAAAAACTTTTTTGGTAGGAAGTTTTGGTAGGAAAAAAAATTCTCCGTGGCAACACTGACCGGAACACTGACAACACCGGGCGGCGCAAAGAACCAGCAAAGAACACACAAAAGAAATGTAACTTCTAAAATCTGCAGCACAAGGCGAATTTTTACAAGGTGGTGTTGCTAAAATTAGCCGCGGTCTTTCTGCATGTGAAAATTATGTGTTTGTTGTATTTTTGGGTTTTGAACTTGGGTATACTTGAGTTGTTTTTCCCCAACCGGTACCACCTTGTATTAATACACCTTAGTTTAACACCGGAACACTGACAACACAGGGTGGCGCAAAGAACCAGCTAAGAACACCCGAAATAGAAGTATCTCTTGTAAAATGTGCAGCACAAGGCGAATTTATACAAGGTGGTGTTGCTAGAATTCGTCGCGGTCCTTCTGAATGCGAAAATGATGGGTTTGTTGTATTTTTGGGTTTTGAACGTGGGTATATTTGAGTTTTTTCTCAACCGATATCACCTTGTATTAATTCACTTTGGTGGCGTGTAGCAATAAGGGAAATGTGCTTTAGCCTGAAGAGGCCCAATTGCGCCAACACACTGTGCTGATTCCGACAGTTGCGCTGGAGTTAGGGTGTCAGCGCCAAAAAATTTGCGCCGTTACCCAGGTCTACTAAATATATATATTTTAATGTCAAAGGCGCATATTCATAGTCATATTTAGTACTCAACTAAGTCGAAACAATGCGAAGTCACAACTAAAGCTATTCATAGTCGCCTTAGTTTCGACTTTTCTGGCTAAGTACCAACTTAAAATTTAGTTTCGGCTGCAGCTGCAACTAAGTCGTAACTAGGAAGAAGTATTTATCACATTAAGGGAAAACAGACGAAATATGTAAAAATTAAGTTGGTAGAGGGTGATTTTGATAATATTGAATAATCTCCAATTAAAATTTACAAAGATCGATCCATTTTAATCGGAAGATGGAATTAAATGCGTATTACAATTCGAATAAAGCTACATCACAATTTTATAATTGGAATAATTTAGATAAATTCTCAAATAATAAGTCAGTTTCACGCTAGTTCTTTTAAAGTAAATTTGTGAATAACATTTAGATATCTACTATTTGTATGTTTCACAGCATGCTTTCGATAAACATCGACTTCACATCACTGCGGTTGTTCTGGCTATTTCACATAATTAACAAGAAAATGATACCTTATTCTTTTGCATAATCATGCAATGAAAATAAAAATTACATAAACGGATGATCAAACTTGACATTATTTAATAAAAATGTAATTTTTCCAAAATATCGTAAAGAAAAATAGATACAATTTCACACTCGTTTTGCTATATCGTAAACTAAGTCGAAACTACTTAGTAGAAGTCTGAAATGCGACTATGAATAGAGGTAAATTTTAAGTTGGTACTTAAATTTAAGTTGCAACTTTGTTAGTTTCGACTTAGTTGCTGGACTATGAATACGCGCCAAAGATTTTTACCTTTTGTATTTTTTTATAGGCTCAGGGGAAAAAAATTGACAAATAAAAACCAGGCAAATTGAAATGCATAGAAGAAACAATACAACCAAAAGTTTACACAATGTGTCTTCAGTGCTGAAAGAGTTAATGCTTCTAGGAAACAGCACCTTAAAATAGGCCGACTTCCAAAACCCACCAATACAATGTTTGGACACTGTTCTACTACGGTATTTAAACTGCTTGTATATGCAAAGTTGCGAAACATTGAAACCACATACATTGCATATTTTGAATATTCAATATAACAATTAATACCCTTTCGTAATTTTCGATTTTAACAACGCCAATCGCAACCAAAAATGAACGAAGCATCAACTTCGTTTCTGGTGCGCTGATTACTCTAACAATGCGTTTCGATAACTTTTCGGATGCGTCTTGGAAAATTAGGCATTGTCAACCATTTGTAGTACGGCGTTATGGAACATTATACTTTGTACGTATGCAATGCAACTGACGTTTTTTGAAGTCAGCCATAGTTTTATTTTTTTTCTAAAAGCTTTAGTAATGATTGTCATTCTAAGGCCTAACAGCCTAATATTATATATATTTTCTTGATTTAAGAAAATTAAAATTTTTCCTTTTTAATGACTTAAAAGCATATACTATACATATAAGTATATACTGTACTATTTTCAGGTAAATTTTTCGATACCCGTTGATCTGAATCAATTTGTAACGAAGATATGCTTAACAACCTACACCTATCACACAACATACCTTCAGGATGGCTCAACAACTGTGGAAAGCCAAGAACAAGTTATATCAAATATCGCAACAGAGGAGCGTAACTACTTCAGGATGACTCCGACCGTATCACTGGGAGTAACTTTGACGCGTGTAAGCACATGTGCAAACAGTTTAATTACCACTTGCAGGCAAAATTTGCCGCATAGAACCTTGATGAAGAGATAATAATAGATTGAAGGATATCGGCCGCTTGTCATGTAAATTAACAGTTCGAATACACCAAAGTCTCCTACTGCCCCAACCGCCAAAAAGACATAAGCGACATTTATTTTTGATGCAGAAATACACCTAGATGCTCTAGCGTCAATTTTTGCAAATTTTAGTGTAAGGTACCACTGAATTACCCAAAATAGTTCGTTTTAAGTAGGAGCGCTAGCAATACATGTCCGAACGGCAGAAGAGGTGTATTCGATTTTTTAATTTAAACATCATGTGAGAGAATAATTTAATATAGGTTTTAAAAATGGAAAATGGTAAAAGCCTCGTGAAGCTCGTAAATCCCGTAAAAGTACGAGCCTCGTAAAAGAGCTGTCAAAATTTGTATGGAGCTCAGTTTATGCGAATCTCATAAAATTACGAGGCAAATTTGATGCGAGAATGACCTCGTAAACTTCGGTGTTGCTAAAGGGCCGAAAATTTTATACTAAAATGAATGATAAAATAATGAAAAAAAAAATAATAAAAAAAAACTTTTTAATATACCACGCTTTTATAAATGGACTAAAAAGTAGAAAATATATATTTCTCAGTTCCATAGAATTTGTTTTGATAACTTTTGATTTTGAAATTAAAGCAAAAGTAACTATAAACAATTTATGGGATTGAAAACGCAAAACACGGAGTGCTTGCAATACAAAGCATGATACAAATATTTAAAGGTAAAACCATGATACAAAAAACAAGGTAGTTTCAATAAACATCTTTTTGATTAAAAAGCAGATTTTTGACAATTGCTCAATTGTGAAAAATTGGAAGCGGCGTTACCCAATTGTAAGTTTTTTGATGTGGGAGATTTTATATCCTAAATTTGGGATTATAAAGAAAATAGTTGTATTAAAATATACCTTTTAAAAATAATCAATATCTTATCTTAAAAACGTTTAAATTTTACATTAAATTCGATGACAACTTGCCAAATCGTTATTTTAATATTAATACAATTTTAGTGAACATATTTTAAAATTTCATCTCATTATTTCACAATGTAGTTTTCTATATCGGATACGATGATTCTGATGTAATTCAGACACTGAAATTACACATGTCGATGTGTTATTTGATACTCATTGTCTTTGTCCATTTAACAGCAAATGGAATTTACTTTAGGACCCATGGGCAGTAAAATTTTTCTAGAAACACATATTGTTTTCACATGAAATTTAGACACACCCAAAATTTAAGTATAAAATAAATAGATAAGAATAAATTTTCAATCAAACTGATTTGTGTAGTCCTGGGGCGTCTTTAGTAAATGTTTGGAGGCTGTTTTAATATATCCTATCTTATTATATATTTTTTAGCTTTACTACATTCTGAGAAGTTGAGAGAATGAAGTCTAATTTCTTTTTTGGTCAACTATGATGTTTGATTTCATTTTTTGCAATCATTAGTTCATTTCGTTTGAGGAGTCACAATGCCCAAACCAAAGTTTTATCATCGGCTTAGGTAAGGTTTAACCACTTAACCCCCCTTTGTTTTCGTCGCTAGTTAATTCTATAAACTGTCAGCTTTCACACAATTAAAATGTACATCTAAGAACAAAAATTTTTAAATCGACAAAAAATTAATAAGAAAATTTGAAGGATTTTAGATATTGGGTATGGTAGCACGAAATGTCACAATCTGCTTAATTGTCAGGTTGTTAATATGGCGACGAAAAAGTGACAATGGAACTACCTTATTTTTTGTATCATGGGCAAAACCATGATAAAAATATTTATAAGTTACAATCGCTGAGAGCCAACTTTATGAATTTTGACGTTTGCTAGCATTTCGAAATTTTTCCTCGCTGCCATTTCGTTTGTTTGTTTTTATTTTCACTCAAACCTAAGAAATATATTTCTGTCGAAACAACAGAATTTGAATGTACCCAGTAGAACTTGGGAGCATCGTACGATTGCTCGGTGAGTACTCCCTGGGGAGTTTACGAATGCTCCCTATTGCTCCCTATGCTTCTGTGTATAAGCATGTAATTTTGTATACTCCCTTTAACATTGTATGTCCTAGGAAGGGGAGTAATCCCTTTTACCTCCTAAACGAGCAATCGGGGAGCACACACAGAAATATCATCCCACAAGCCTCCTAAAGGAGCAATACGGGAGTACTCCCATAAAAACCTCCCCTATATCTCCCAAAAACACGACAAGGGACTGCACATAGAAAAACATCCTATATTTCTCCCGAACGAGCAATAAGTGAGTACTCCCATGGGAGGCATCCCGAAAGCCTCCTGTACGAGTAATAAAAGAGCTTTTCATTGCCCCACACAATAGCTAGAAGATTTTTCTATTTACGCAATCTATTTATTTAATTTTTTAAACACGTTTGTATACAATATTAAAAGATCTTAACTGATACCTATAAGTACGAGATCAGACAAAACATAAATAATACTTATTACATTATTGATTAATTTTGGAATACCTGTTGCGAAGAAATGCATTAAAAGTAAAACAGAATAAAAATAAAACGGTAAGATAACTACATGATGCCATGGGTGTCAGGGATGCTTGGGTGTTCAGGAGTACCCGCAAATAGGGAGAGTGTATAAAACTTTCTTGTTTTAATGTGTAGGTGACTTTGCTCATCTGATATCTTTGTCACCCAGTAAAAGATCTGGACCGGCGTGATATGAACGTTAAAACCACAGAGTCATGCGTAAGTGCCGACGGTCCTAATAATTAGCCAAATCTGAAAAGTATTTAGCGGTATCTAATACAATATTTAATAAATTTAAACAAAAGTTGCAAAACATACGGACCTTCATTTAAATGTGTGCTATCGACAGTAAATTATTGCATCCTCCTTATTGTGTTTCTATATGAAATATATGATAAATTTTTCCAATAACACAAAAAATCTTTTGAACGAGGTGCATATAGTTCCCCCATAAATCAAAAGGAATACTCCTGGATTGCTTTCTTAGGAGACATCGCTTTTTGCCCGTAAGCGAGTAATAACGGAGTACAAAGCCGACAAATCTCAGTTATAGCCCCGAAATCATTCCTCAGCGAGTATTCTTTTATTGCTTACTTGGGATATCTCCCGTTTGGCTCCTAAACGAGTAATAAAGGAGTACAAAGTCGACAAAAATCGTTTATTGCTCCAAAATCATGCCTCTTGGAGTATTCGTTTGTTGCTCGCTTAGGAGATCTCCTATTTGACTTCTAAGCGAGTCATAATGGAGTTCAAAACCGACAAATCTCTCCTATTGATCCGAAATCAGGGCAAAGGGAGTACTCTTTTATTCCTCACATTGGGAAATCTCCCTTCAAGTTCTAGTGGGTACATACAAATATACATGCATATGTAAATAAATAAATGGAAGCAATTTTCTGTAATGGACTTCTGCCCGCATGTTAAGGCGAAGATTTTGGCATGCACTCAAAGATATTTTACCTTAAAGGCACTGCACTTTTGCAAAGAACTATCTTGTGCTTACATTCGGTCCGGTGGTGTGGCAAAAACTGAGCCTTGCACAAACAGGAGCACTTGGAAAAACCGCTTCCGTAACACCACAAACCTCTATCAATTTTTGCTGTAGATACGATAATTTCGGGAACTTGTAGAACTTTAGATTGCTTTGCTTGTAGAGGAAAACGGAATTTGGGCAGCCGCAACTCATTTTTCTTTTCAAAATTTTTAAGTTTTTCCCACATTTCAATAAATAAATTTTCAAATCATAAATATTCATGTGTTTATTTTGTATTTATTTGACATTTGAATCATTTCGAGAGAGTGTAATCAAAATGCTAGCAAACGTCAAAAAAAAACCAATGGCGGACGAATTGAGCGAGCGGTTTTACCTTTAAATATTTGTATCATGGGTAAAACCAAGGCGAATTAATATAAGGTGATAGCAGGAGAACAAAAACAAAAATTTACATGTATTTTGTTTTTGCTTTGGCGGCATAAACTGTCAAAATCTGTAAGTGTGTGTGTGGAAATTCGAACAAAATTTTTCAATTTGACATTAGAATCCGTGAGGCGAAACACATACACAAAATCAGCTGATCTAGTAACACCACCTTATATAAATTCGCCTTGGGTAAAACCAAGGTGTATTAAACAAGGTGTGATTGACAACTCAGTGCGGCTCTCTTTTAAGGTACTATAATGTCAACAAGTATAAACAAACGAATTAACCCTTAGTGATGCATGTATCTTATCAGCACTGATGTCCTAGGCTTTTATTTCGATTCTAGTTTTGTTTTACTTACATTACTTACATCACATATATTTTGTCAATAAAATAAAACAAATTGTTTATAAAATCGTTTTATCAATTTTCTTGTTTTTAATTCTCCTAGTTTTATGCTTTTGCGCGTTTATTTTTATATTTCAATTTTTTATCCTAAGCATTATTCGACACTTATAAAAGTATGATTTTACATTTTTTACCAATTTTATATGTGAGCTTAACTCA